GTCTGAGTATTTACACTACTGACTTTAATTCTTGTAAATCTGTTGTGAAGACAATGTGGTATTCTCTTTTAAAGAGACAAAATAGAAAGAATAGAAAGTCTATAAACAGATGCACACATATATGGTCAATTGATTATTGATGGTGATTGAAAGGTCAGTTACTGGGGAAAAAGCAGTCTTCAGTAAAGAGCGCAGGCACAATCACACTCCCCTGACTCAAAATGAATCCTGCCCTAAATGTAAAATGTAAATCTATAGACCTTCTGGAAGAAAATCTTTATGACATCAAAAGCTCTACTTCAAATTTAAGAATTCTGTTCTTTGAAAGACACTTTTAATAGACTGAAAACACAAGCCACAGACTGGGAATATTTGCAAATCACACATCTGATAAGGGACCTGTATCCAGAATATTTAAAGAATTTTTAACACTCAACAATTGGGAAAGCAAGCATCCCAGGCAAAAAGAAAGAAAGAGAGGGAGGGAGAGAGGGAGGGGAAGAAAGGAGAGAGCAAGGAAGGAAGGAGGAAAAAAGGAAGGAAGGGAGGAAGGAAGGGAGGTTGGTTAGGAGGGAGGGAGGGAGGGAGGAGTACACTGAAGAACAGAAGGATGGCTCAACACCTCAACACAGGCTTTATTGGGTAGAAGAAACCGGGGAAGGCATATTCACAAGTAAGCTGGAGACTGGGGGTAGATATAGGAGGTTAATGGGGAAGTTCTGGGAAACCAGTGAGGCCAAGAAAACTTTTGTGATTGACTTGCTGCTGGGGGTAGCTAAGGGAGATACCTGGTAATTAAGTCAGTCGGTTACTTAACTGACTTGCTCCTGGTGACAATGGTGTAATGTGGGTTTCCATCATTCTTTGGGGCCAGTTGTGATCTTTCCAGTAAGTGGTTTGGAGTTTGTAGTAAGCTGCCTGTGACGGGGAGGGGGTATGGTCCTAACATGGTGGTCCTTGTGTTCACCCTAACAAGAAGGGAAGAGATACTTCATCAGAGAAGATATTTAAGATGGTAATAAGCACATTAAAGTTTGCTAAAAATCAGCCAGGTACCAGTGGTTCACAGCTGTAATCCCAGCTACTCAGGAGGCAGAGATCAGGAGGATCGAGGTTTGAAGCCAGCCTAGGCAAATAGTTTGTGAGACCCTATCTTGAAAATACCTCACACAAAAAGGGCTGGTGGAGTGACTCAAGATGTAGGCTCTGACATGATAAAAGCGAGAGCACACAAGGGAGAAGTGAGGATAGGTAAGACACCTAAAAAATTAGCTAGCATTTGTTGCCCTTAACGCAGAGAAACTAAAGCAGATACCTTAAAGCAACTGAGGCCAATAGGAAAAGGGGACCAGGAACTAGAGAAAAGGTGAGATCAAAAAGAATTAACCTAGAAGGTAACACCCACGCATAGGAAATCAATGAGAGTCAATGCCATGTATAGCTATCCTTATCTCAACCAGCAAAAACCCTTGTTCCTTCCTATTATTGCTTATACTCTCTCTACAACAAAATTAGAGATAAGGGCAAAATAGTTTCTGCCGGGTATCGAGGGGATGGGGGGGAGAGGGAGGGGGCGGAGTGGGTGGTAAGGGAGGGGGTGGAGGCAGGGGAGAGAAATGACCCAAGCCTTGTATGCACATATGAATAATAAAACAATAATAATAATAAAAAAAGATGTAGGCTCTGAGTTCAAGCCCCAGTACCAGAAAAAAAATTTTTTTGCTAAAAACCATTAGCTGTTAGGTGAAGGACCACAGTAAGTCATACATTCCTGGTGGGAATGCAAAATGGTATGATTGCTTTGGAAAACAGTTTGATAGTTCTTAAAAAAAAAAAAAAAAAAAAACACTTGATTCAGCCATTCTTCTCCTAGATATTTCAGAAAGAGAAACAAAAGCATATTTGCATATAATAACTTGTGCATGAATGTTCACAGCCAATTTGTAATAATAAAAAACTAGAAACAAGCCAAATGTCCATCAACTGGTGAATGATAAATTGTGACATGATGCATGTAATGACATATTACTGAACAATAAAAAGGAAGAAACAACTGATGCAAAATACAGATAACTCTGAAAATAAATGTGTATGTCCTATGTGATTCCTTTTATGTAAATTTCTAGAAAATGGAAAATACTCTGCAGTGATGGGAAGCTGGTCAGTAGCCTTCCTGGGATAGAGGTTTAGGGAAGGGCAAGGAATATCAGAAGGAAGAATTAGCAAAGAGCACAGGACATGTTTTTGGATAATGGCTGTTCTCTAATATGGTTGTGATGTTTTCTCAGGTCTATGCACACATACAGAGATGTCAGAATCTATCCTGTTAGTGCAGTTTGCAACTATTTCCACTGGACATCAATATACCTGCTGGAAACAAAAATAAACAGAAATCAGCCAGGCTCCAGTGGCTCACACCTGTAATCCTAGCTCAAACAAACAGTTCAAATGACCCCATCTCCAAAATAACCAGAGGAAAATGGACTGGAGGCATGGCTCAAGCAGTAGAGCACCTGCTTCGTAAGCTCAAAACCAAGTTCGAACCCCAGCATCACAAGAAGAAAAAAATAAAAGAAAGAAAGAAAAGAAAAACAGAAATCCAACATGATGCTGTGATTGGTTTGGTCAACATCCAGCACAGCACCTTCTAAGAGAACAGGTCGTGGGCTCCCGTGCATCCAGTGGAAAGTGACTGGCTGGTCTTGTTATGGAATCATGGGGACAGGGCCGAGCTTTGTTCCCTCAGACCTCTCACCTGCACCCACCTCTACCCTTCACCCCAACACTTCACCTGCACCCACCCACCTCTACTATGCACCCCAATGCCTCATCTACAGCCACTTCTACTGTCTACCACAACACTTCACTTGTACCCCACTTCTACCTTCATCCCAACAACTGACCAGCACCCCACCTCTACACTCACTGTAATGCCTCACCTACACCCACTTCTACTGTTCACCCCAACTCCTCACCTGTACCCACCTTTACTGTTCACCCCAAAGCTGAAACTGGAGTTTTGGACCCAAGGCCCAAACTCCTGAGATTCCACATGCCAGGTCCAGCCACCCACCTCTAAGCACCACATAAAGAGGCCTGGTGAAGGCAGAGAAGGAGGTTTATTACACGGCTCGGGACGTGCCATGGGAAGAGGCAGAGTAAGCCCTCAGCTCATCTTTAGCTATCTTTGGGGTACAGACATGAGTTATGGGTTTAAATAGCCAAAAGAACTGGGGGCAGGGAACAAAGGTATGCATAGTTCATCAGTCCCAGTCCCAGGTGTGGTGTGACTGGCAGAACAGTCTAGGTCAGGGAGGTGGTCTGGTGGGTTCTTGAGTGGTGGAGCCCACAATCTTGGTCAGCAGGTGGTTTGGTCCAGTTTTGAGAAGTTATCTTCTGGAGGGCGTAATCTGGTTCCTGTCTGAGAGCATTACTCTGGCTTGGGATGTGAATGGTTCTCACTGGGAGGGTGGCAGCTCTAGGTGGCTCTGGTTCCTTGTCATAAAGATGTTATCAGTTCTGTCCTTTCTGAAATCCAAGGTGATTGCAAAGTGACTGTAAAGAGAATGGCTTAGAGCAAAGACAGATATAAAATGGAGTCTGGGACGCCAAGTTTCTCCTGTTTTTAGTTAATTTGTGGGCCCAAGTAAGGAATCAGTGCTTTTCAGCAAAAGCAGTTTGAGCACCTCTTACAATACCTCACCTGCACCCATCTCTACAATTCATCCCAATTTATCCCTGGCAAGAGGATCCCCCAAATTTCTGCTTCATGACCAGGAAGGTCATCACATCCACACAGAGCACTAACTCACTCTTAAGTGGATCAAATAATAGAACATCAGGAGTTCTTCTATAAACTCTTCTCTCAAATCCCACAAATGTGCAGGCAACCACTGAAGACAATCTCTGGGAGTCTACACACTCCTTGGTGTCCAGCCATGGCCCCTGGTTCAGAGCCCTAGGAAATGCCAGAAATGCCCAGAATGGCCTGGCTGGCGGTAGAGCAGCCAAGAAGCAAATCATTATCACCCACCCAGATCTGAAAACCAGCAGGAAAATTAGCATGATAAAGGTTCTTTCCAAGCTCCAGGTGTTTGCAGGGAGGCCCAGGGAGTTTGGGAGATTTCCTGGGAGTGCCTGCACTGGTTCAGACACAGACACAGATGGCTTATCTATTCAGATTTTAATTCTCTTCCTCATTCCCACAACATTTATTAACTATTCATGCTTGATGACTCCACCTTCCAACCGATGACCTAAGGAATTCCACCACCAAAGACATTCCCTACTCCCAAGGATCTGCGGATGACTCACTAGCCCTTCTTCACCATTCGAGGGTGTTGGGATCTCAGTGGCAGAGCCCTTCTTCCCAGGGGATGGCAGCCCTAGGTTTATGGCCTGCTAGATCTCCTTGAGTGGTCTGAGGGGTGGTGTGTCGTGTCTGTCTGTCTGCTAAATGTTTGACTTTGCAAAAATGTCCTGAGACAAGAGACAGAAAGTCTTGGTCTCTGAGGACAACCAGGATGCTGCCTTGAGTTTAAACACCAACTGGGAAACCTCAAGGTTTAAATGTCATCCTTATGGAAAAGGAAATGACATAACCTCTCTTCTGGACCTTAGTGGGATTGGGTTTGACCTATCTATTTTTGGTGAGCTTTTTGCCTTGAGAAAATGTGCCCAAGAACGAAAAATCCGAAAGGATGTCTTTGAGGGAAAAGGTTCGCTCTCCACCTTGTAACTGGAAACGGGTCAAGTGGATCCGGGTCCGGTTTGCTCTGCTTCCCCTCTCCCCGGTTCCGAGTAAAGAAGCTCGGTCTGACGCGGAGAAGCCCTTCTGCAGGACACATGGGTCGAACAGTCGCGCACGACCTGCCCCCCGGAGCCGGGCCAGCAGCGCTCCGCCCGTGCGCGTCCCGCGCCCGCGTCGCCGCCCGCGCCGGCCCGCGCCCCGGCCGCCTCCCGCCGCGCGGCCGCCGCCTCCGCCCAGACCGGTCGCGAGAGCCCGGGAGCCGCCGCCGGGATGTGACCTTCAGCGCTGCCTGGACGGGATGAGCGGAGCCCCTGCCCCGCGGCGCCCGCGGCTCGCCACGGCCTCCCGGGCGCCCTGACCGCGCGCTCCCGGCCGCCTGCCCGGCTCCCGGCCCGGCCCGGCCCCGCCATGCCGCCACCGCTCGGGCCCGCCGCCGCCCTGGGCACCGCGCTGCTGCTGCTCCTTCTGGCCTCCGAGTCCGCGCACAGTGAGTACCGCGCCGGACCCGCGGCCCAGAAAGCGCGCCCCGTGCGCGTCCCGACCTCCGGGCACCTCGTGACCATGATATCCCGGCCCCGGGCATCCTCACCCCGCATCCCACCGAGCGTCCAGGCCCCAGACATCCCGGAGCCCAGGACATCCCGATCTCCGGCATCCCGGCCTCCAGGCATCCGGGTCTCAGACATCCCGGCCGCGGGCATCTCCTCCCCCACTGCGTCCCGACCTCCAGGCACCGGAGCATCCCTGCCCCAGGCATCCGGGCCCTAGACATCTTGTCCCCAAGTCATCCCACTCGCTTCCAGGCACCTCGGACCCATAGATCACACCCGTGCACCCCAGCCTCCGTCATCCCACCAGGGCATCTGGCCCTTACGCACCGCGGCCCGGGGAATCCCCTGTGCACCCCAACCTGGGGCATCCCACCCGGGCATCCGGGCCTGAGGCAATCCCCCGTGAATCCCAACCTGGGGCATCCTACCCTACCCGGCGCAGGCTGACGGCGCGCCCCTCTCCTGCAGCCGTGCTACTGCGGGCGCGCGAGGCAGCGCAGTTCCTGAGGCCCAGGCAGCGCCGCGCCTACCAAGTCTTTGAGGAGGCCAAGCAGGGCCACCTGGAGAGGGAGTGCGTGGAAGAGCTGTGCAACAAAGAAGAGGCGCGGGAGGTGTTCGAGAACGACCTCGAGACGGTAAGCCTCGCCGAGGTCGGGCGAGCGGGGTCCGGGCTCCCGACCCAGCTCAGGCGAGGGGACCCGGGGACTGCGGCACCCCTAACGCCTACCCGGAGTCCCGGGGAGCCTCGTGGTGACAGAGCCGCTGGGCACGGTGAGGGTCCCAGGCGCCCTAGGCCTACCCTCACCCCTCCACTCCTCTTGAGTCCGAATTCTCCTGGTGACCCCAGGCCCTCCCCCTCACAGCGGCAGCCCCAGGCCCTTGGGTTGGAGCGGGTGGAGGCCCTGGAGCAGTTTTTGACAGCGGCACTTTCAAAGGAAAAGTTCAAAATAAAACGCCTGCTCTCCCCCAGAATGAAAAAAAGGAGCAGGTTTCAAGTGTAAAAGAAATACAATGGTTAAAAATCCCAAACATTTATGAGGGGGCCCCCTCCCTGGAGCTGGGTTGGAGCTCCTCCAGAGAGATGGAGGATTTTCCTGAAAGAGGAATTGAAAGGTCTCTGGGCTGGAATTGCTTGCAACAGCAGGTCCAAAAATATGATTATAGAATTGTGCAAAGAATATGGACACAGGAGGGTGTGGAGGAAAGTGGGGAAGGGCCCAGACCCGGCCTCTGCGGGAGACTGGCTGTGCTGGCTAGGACAAATTTCTATTAATAATCTCCTTGTGGACTGGGGCTCCCGGCCAGCCGCCAACTGCAGACAGCAGCCCACATGTGCACTGGATCTCCATAGGAGGTGAGCCTGGGGGAGGGCCATGGTGCGAACATGCTGTGGGCAGGACCCTCGGGCTCTAGGGGACACTTGGCTTTAGACTTGTGTGGACATCCTGTCACCTGATGCTATCAAGTCAGCTAAGTTTTTGGTTCTACTGGACTCTTTCTTTTAAAGAATTCTTCTGGGATGAAACAGATATCACATGCACTAAAGGGTGGATCTGTGTGGCCCACGTGGGCCTTTATTTTCACTTGTGTTTCTCATCGGTTGACTGGTCAATCCCTTTGAGATTTGCTTTCCTGACACAAGTGTTAGAACTACTGAGTGCCACTGCTGCTGCTTTGGCACAGCTGCCCAGTGCCGCAGCCCCATGGGGATGTCTGCTGTGATGGGCTGTCTCTGCGGTGAAAAGCTGTGTCTGCGGTGACAAGCTGTCTCTCCCCGGTGTAGTTTTTGCTCCTCTTAGGAAGCAGATTACTGATCTTTCTCTAAACTTGCTGTTCTGTTTCTTTTCTTTTTTGTAGTACTGGGGTTTGAACTCAGGGCCTCAAGCTTGCTAGGCAAGTACTCTAACACTTGAACCACACCTCCAGCAGTTTTCCTGTTTCTTTGATGATGATCCTGGTGGCCCAGTGAATTCTGATGATGCTGGCAGGTCTCTTTCAAAGCCTAGGGCAAGGCTCTCATGCCCCTGTCACCCAGGGTTGGGTGACTGGCCCAATGCCCTCCATCCCCCTCCTTACCTAGAGCATTCTGCTGGGCAGAGTGTGGGATGGGGCCTGTGATGACAAGCGGTAGGAGCTACAAGGCCACCACCCAGCCCAGGGAGCCCTGCCCCTCTGCACCCTGCTTGCCAGGACTGACAGGTCTGTGCTGGCCTTCCTGGCTGCTCCAACATAGGGCTGCTCTTCCCCGACTCACACCTCTCTGATTTAAATTGATTTTATGTTTTGATTATAGTTTTATTTACAAAGATAGAAATGAAGGCATGAAAAAGAAAAAAACACTCAGAAGCTCACTACTTAAACAACCCCTCTTCCTTCAGTGGAGCTTTCTGCCTTTCCCATCTATGTGTGTGCACTAAGGCCCAGCTGCTATAATGCTAGGAGGACTGTCCCCTCCTGTCTTGTCACAGTTCTGTCCCATCAGGAGTCTGCAGAGGCCTATTCACATCAGAACCATCTGTAATGTTGGAGAACTCTCTCCTCTTTTGCAGATCCCATTCTCAAATAACACCTACCTTTTCCCTTTATGACTCAGTTCCCAACTGGACAGCCCTCTTGGGCTGCTTCCCTGCTGCTTGAGAATCTGCCCTAGACTCCAACCGCGGCCTGGCCTCCCTGCAGAGTTCCTGCTAGGCTTCTGGATGTGGCTACTGGCCACCTTTCAAGGGTCGTTGTTTCCAGTCCTTCCTGCTCCACACCCTTGGGGAGACCTAAATCCAGGGGTGTTCCCCAAACACTACTCTGCTCTTGCCCCTAGGAAGGAAGATGGCTGAAGAGGCAGGACCCTGCTGTGGTCAGAGACCTTCCTAGGCAAAATGTTTCTCTCTGAGAAGTATCAGCTTAATATTCCTTACCTTGAAATGTTGTTCACTTCACATTTTCAGATGAGGCTGTTGGGTGGTAAAGAGTGTGGCCTAGGCTCCAGTGTGAAACAATGGGCCACCTACCAGACCTACACAGTGCCCAAACCGGCAGGTTCCACCCCTGGGGACTGATCCTCCCTTCCTCCTTCCTGCCTTCCAGGACTTAGAGTGCTGGGAACAGACAGCAGCCTGCACTGTGGCTCTGCAGACACCTTGCCCAGCCGTAGTGGGCACCTGCCCACTTCTACCTCCCTCCCGGGGGACTGGAAAGTGAAATGCAGCCATTCCCAGAGCCCAGGGAGGGAGTGGTCCTGCCCTCCAGCTGGGTGGTCCTGGCAGCTCTGTGCTCGTGTCTGGGCTCCGGGCTCCATTACTCAAGGAATTGTTTGTGTTCTATGTGCTGGGATTACCCAGGGTCTTCCTGCATAGTCTGAGGGTCCCAAGTTACAGTGCCTGACCTAACAGCCGTCTTCCAGGGCAGGTGGGTGGGTGTGAGGCACCCTTCCCACACACCTTCTTCTGGGAGGGTCCTCCCTCTACACACTTCCTATGGCACCTCCGCCCACATTCCTGGCCCTTTGCAGCCCCAGGCAGCCAGCCCTGGGCAGCCAGCCCTGGCCACTTGTAATCACTTTGTCCCTCCTCTCCCCCAGGCTTTTCTTCTTATCTCCTTTCCCTTTTCATTGTTACTGTCTCTTCCGGACATTTCACTCTCCCTGGCAGGGGTTCCCTGTCCAGAGTTGCTGATTCAGAGGGGCCCCATGCTAGAGACTCCACAGCTATTGTCCTGCTAGCCCTGTCCAGTCTCTGTCCTCCGCACTTCTGAGAGAGCAACCTTTGACTCATTTGCTGAATCCTTTGAGGCACTGAGTCCTAGTGGTCTGGATAGGATGTTTGCTTCCATTTGCTTCCTGAGAATCCTGGTCAGGAGGCTAACCACAACATAGTGGCTGCCAGGCACTTGGATGCCTGCCAGGAGACAGAAAATCTCTGGGCCGTTCCTGATTAGCACCTGGTTTTATGTGAGATACAAAGTACAATATTCACAGTAGGACTGGCGACCTGTGGGATTAGACCTGTAGGATTACCACTTGAGCTTAAGCTAAGGTCTTCCTCTCCCTCTCTGTCTCTCTGAGCTCTCTGCCCCCCTCTTATCTCTCTGCTTCTCTGTCTCACTCTCCCTAAGGTATGGTGGCCCTCCCCACTGATGGTGGTGAATTCTCTGGTGGGACTTTGGGATACAGTCAGTTTTAAAAGCCTTGGGTTATAAACAGCATTTACCCTCTAAGAACATTTTCTCTGAGATTGTGGGTTTGACAGGGGCAGCTTGGGGAGAGCTGTCTCTCAGGAGATGGACGGCCCTCCCCCTGGGGACAACCACTGAGTAGGGACAGGGCTCAGTTGTTTGGGGTGATCTAAGGGCCCAGCAAAAGGAGGAGGTACCCTCAGAGACTTTGAATAGGGCACCTGTGAGGGAGGGGATGTCCAGGTGAGCCACCCACCCTACCCTGTCCTGATAGCTACCTGGCATGCAGGCGCATGGACACACACAGGCACACACATACACACATTGACACACGTTGCACAGTCATACAATACACACACTCAGACATTTGCACAGACACACTGACATACACGTGGGCATTCATACAGTACACATCCACACATGTACTCACACACATACAGAAGCATGTAGACACCCAGACTCAGGTATGCGTTCATACACAAACATGTATACCTGTACTCACAAGTAGGCACTGACACAGCACACGCACAAAACCACACTGAGATGCACACAGACACACTTTGCACACACTCTCTTCCCTGGCTCCTCTCTGGAGCATCCACTCCTCTAGTAGCTGCCTCCTGGCTGTTCCCTCTTGGGCCTTTTCCCACTGAGGGCCTTTAGGGCTCAAGCCCTGCAGATAGCCTGGCAATCAGGGATCCAGTCACGTGCCTGTGCCCACACTGCCTGGACACTCATTGCAGTCCTGGCACTTCCAGGCATGGAGCAGGCCCTTCTGGTAGCTCTGTACTGTAACAGCACAGTGCTGGGCACTACAGGCAACACCCTGCCCCAGGCTGGGCTCAGTATTCTTAGAACCTGACTATTGTATTCAAAAAATGCAAAGTACCTCCCTTCTATTTACGAACAAAATTCAGGTTTAGGAAGTGCAACTTCCATTCCTGCCTCTGGAGTGTCTAAGGGAAGACTCTGAGGTTGGAGCTGGGCCAGAGCTAGTCAAACCCTCCCAGATCACTACCCTATAGTCCTCAGCCAGGGCCTGACTTCTTGCTGCAACGCCCTCTTGCTTTTCTCAGGTAGAAGCTGGGGCTGTTTCTGTGACCTACACCCAACACCCAACACTGCTTGTTTTAGAATTGCTTGATTGATGTCCCTAGAGAAGCTGGGAGGTGCTCATGTGCAGTTGGACTCTCTGGTCCCTCCTTCAAGGGATCACCACACAAGTGTTCTCCAAGGTCACCCTGGGGGCCACAGGATGGTAGAATTTGTGTGCCTGGAAAGTTCCCAAGCCTCTGGTGCAAAGTCCTGGTTACTTCTGCCTCACAGGTGTTCACAGAACACTTACCTCAAACCAACAATAAATAGGATCAGACTTTGATCACCATGGGCTTCCTGGGTTCCTAGAACAGTCTGAATGTGTCTGTAGTAGAGGAGGAACCATGACGAGGCTGACACTGAGTGTGTCTGT